GGGAAAGATCTTTCCTTGACGCGACTAGCTGGTGGCTCCCGGATCCTTGGCTGCATCACTCCAGTCACTGTCTCTATTGTCACACGGCCTCCTCCCCTGTGTGTCCCTGGGTCCTCACCGCTTCTCACAGGACACCAGTCACTGAATTTAGGGCCCTCCCTAATCCAGTATGACCTCATCTTAACTATAAAGATGCTATCTCTAAATAAGGTCACACTCTCAGGTTCTGGGTGGACAGGAATTCGGGGACACTATTCAACTCACCACAGAGGACATCTCTGGTGTCTTTCTCTTTGCTCCATCTATTACTCTAGTCCACAGGTCTGCAATCAGAAAAGAATTTCCACATCCTCCCAACTCCAAATCTACCATCTTTCCTGCATCTGTTGTCTGCCTTCCCTCCCGCTACAATCCCTGATCTGTCTATACATCCTGACCTGAGGCCAACCCTCTGCATAGGCATGGATCTTATCTCCTCCTGCTACTCAAGGATTCTCCTCCTGCAATTTCTGCCTCTGTGCCTGTTCATTAAGTTCCCCCCTGTACTGCAGCATTCCCATCAAGCTATAAACATGCTGGTCACTGAAGGAAACCATCACCATCAACAAAACGAAAAGACAACCTACTGAATGGGAGAAGACATTCACCATTGATACATTCAATAAGGGCTGAATATCCAAAATACATAAGCAACTCATACAAATTAACACCCCCCCCAAAAAAAACCCCACAAACATTTAAAAATGGGCAGAGGACCCAAAGAGACATTTCTCCAAAGAGGACATACATGCCCAATAGACATGTGAAAAGGCGCTCAGCATTACTAATCATCAGGGAAATGCAAATTAAAACTACAATGAGATATCACCTCATACCTCTCAGAATGGCTATTGTTAATAAATCAACAAAGCTGCAATTAAAAAAAATTAATAATATAAACATGTGGAAATATAGCCCACAATTAAAAAAAAACACACAACTTTCCTGGGCCCCACAGAGCCTCTATAGTTACTGCTCGTCTTTACTGTTCCTCTCCAGCTGCAACACACCCTTCACAGTTCCTGTGTCTGAGTGCCATCCTGTCTCCCCAACAATTACCATGTCACGCAGTCAAATCCTCCCGAGCTTTGACTACAGCCAGCGCTGATCTGCCTTCTTTCTGAATGTCAGTAACCCCCTCTGTGACCCACACTTGCTCACAAGTGATATTTTAATGAACACTAAGGAATGGCTCTCCATCACAACTCCAGCAACTTAACACGTCTCCATAATTCCTGAGATGTACTGGCCTCTTTCCAGAAGCTCAACAGCAATATTCCTACAAACTGCCCCTGTGTGTAGTCCCCTGTGACAATG